TATATTATTTTTATATAAATATTATTTTTATATAAATATAGACGAATTTATTTTAAAATTATTCTCACCATATTTTAGATATTGAATATTGCATTTTAGTTTTTTAACATTTGTGTAAATGTAAAGAAGATATTTTAAAGAAACACGATGGTAATAATCGTAAATCTAGAAATGTGTATCATATCTCATTATTTTCACTATATAAAATGCTACAAAAATACATATTTTATTTTTTATGCGATTTAGGCTGCGGTCTACTTAGCGCTTCAAACGCTATAGAACATTTGTCCATTTCATTCTTCTTCATTGTCATTAATATGTCCATTTGATTCGAAATGCTCTCAGCAATTCTGATTACATCATTAATGTGTTGTTTTTGCTCCCTCTTCACTCAAACTACCTCTTCTCGAGAGGTAGGTTGATTGGAGCGTATTCACACCACGTAGCAATTGTAACATTCAAAACAGTAATGGATCAATTGGAACGTAGCGTTTGGAACGTAACGTTCAGAACATTTGGAAGAAGCAAGTGAACCGCAGCCTTAATCTCTATTGTATAAACAAATGATTTCTCATTATAAATTGATTTTTTCAAATAGAATCAATAAGTACTCTGTGTACATATACATATATATATATATATATATATATACACACACACATACATACAAATTTTAATCAAACTCAGGTATATCATCAAAGGAATAGCCAGGTACTTTCTGATATGCTAAAATAGCTACCCTCATATGATAAGCTCCCGGTATGAACATCAAGGCTCCTAAAATTATTACTGGCCATATCCGATCTGAATACTATAATGTAACAGAATTTTTATAAAAATATATGTGATTTCATCAGGTACTAGAATAATCAGTTAATATATCCAGTGTTGTAATATAGTACGTAGGTATAAATATTTAAGTACTTTAGCATTAGTAAGTATAACTACTTAAGTTACCTAGATTCTTACATTACCTAGATCCTTATAGACGATACCTGTACGTGTATTTGAGTACTTATTTGTAGGACACCTTTCAAGTTTAATTTCCATGGAATTATGATCTTTTCTCTCTCTTAATTAGATCGGAAGTCTATCTAGGGACTCTAAAGAAGTTTAGATACATAAGTACAAGATATTTATCTACATATACTAACGACATATATACAAAACCAAACATTCCCGTGTTTTTCAGTAAGAGTTTAGTAAAAGACAAAGCCAAAAATTGTTTAAATTATGCACCGATATCCGTAAAATATCAGGTATCCGACATTATCCGGTATTTTTTGCTTCGATCGGATAGTCGAATATCATTAGTGTCCGGTAGTAATACATCTGACTAAAATTTTATGTTACTATTAAAGTTTGCGTTAAATACAGAATTTTTATTTTTCTGCGGAACTTTTTACACGGTTCATCTTTCCTCGTTTTCTTTTCACATTAGGAAATTATAGCTATTTTTTAGAAGCGTTATTTCATATCACATTTTTGGATATCCAATATCTGATATCCGGTAATTATTTACGATTCGATATATCCCTAATTTAAATGATCATCCATGATTGTTGAAGTTCTATGCTTTCTTTAAAGATAGAAAGAGGTACAACGGAACCACAGACTCTGTCATCTTCCAGCTTTAAATGTAACAAAATGTAACAAAATGCTTGGTCTATCCCTGATAGCAAAAGCATATTTGCAATTTGCGCGCAAATTGGCAGCAAACTCGATCACATTTGACTATGGATTTGTCGACAAAGCTTGTTGACATGTTTTGCCAGCAATTTGCAGACAAAAAGTGCAGAGTGCTGGCATAATCAGACAGCAGATTGTGAGCAGAACCGAGCAGAGCTTACTGACATAACTTGATGACAGATTGACAACAAAAATCGAGCAAGATCTGTTCAGATATCTTCATTTAAATCGTCCTAATTTCTTTTAAGAAATTTTGCGTACATATTGTATATAAACGGTTATATATGATTATACATAATTGTATTATTATTATTTTATTTATTTTAATCCTTACCACGTTGCTTAGAACTGGTTTCCAGTTTATATTCCATACAAAACATATATACATTATAATCCATTTCACTATATTAAATAAACTTTAATAATTTCAAATGAATATAAAATTATTAACTATCTATTTGAGTTCATTACTGTCCTACATTTTAATCTAGCTCATTATCACAAATTAACATAACCTATATACCCGCCAAGTCTAAGGCTTGATACTCTTGCACCGATTAACTAGCTGTGTATCAAAAACTTCTACTGAATTAATCGCATTGACCGATTCGCCTCATCGTGATACAATTATTGTTATAATTATTGTCATAAAAAGTCCTGTTACATAACATTCTTCTTCTCTATTTCCCTTCTCTTTTTCGCCTCCTTCCTTGCCTTTTTATCATCTTCATTGTTTCCAGACCACTATCTTCTTCCTAAAAACTTCCATCAGCAGTTCATTCTTTGTCGCTTCACTTCTTTAATATATGGAGTATGCTTTCTTTCTCTATCAGGCATATTCTGCAACTCCTTGTCTTCAATCTCTTTCTAGTACTGGCTCCTCTTCATCTCACTTCCATATCTGTATCTGGTTATTAGATTTCTGTTCTTTCGTTTTCTTTTTTCTTCCAGATACTTTGATACTTTCTCTGACATTATGCTTTTACAGTTGTAATTCTAGACTCATTATCTTCAATCTCCTTTCTTCCTTCTCCTTATTCTCTATTTTCTTCATTATGTCCTTAGCTATACTCCGTCCTCTCTTTTTAACCTCACTTATTCCTTATTCATCCCTGCTTTCTCCAGCCTTTCCCTCCTTTTCTTTTCCCAGTTGCTTTCTTCCTTTAATGGACGCTCCTTTTCTAAATCCTTTATACATTTCTGTTCAACTTCTTCTTTCTACTTCTTATTTTTTCTTCGTAGTTGATTGCTCTTCTAATTGTTTTCGTTTCTCTTATTTTCATTTCTTTCGCTAGTACGTAGTTTCGGTGTTCTCCAATTCAATCCTAAAATCTATTTACCTATTATGTATTTTCTTTTTATTCCATTCAGTCTCCTATCCTCTTGCCAGCCCCATACTTCTGCTCCGCATAGCGCTATACTTTCCACTAGTGAATTAAACATCTTCATTCTTATCTTGAAGTCATCTTTAAATAATCTCTCTCCACATCTTCATTGCTACTATTGTTTTCTTCATCCTTTCTCTAATGTGCTTTTCTGCCCTTCCATTTTTTTGCAGAGTATATTCCAAGTATTTTATTTCTTTGACTTCCTTTATATCCTTTTTTTTTTCATTTCCATGTTCTTTTTTTCATTCTGCCTTTTCCTTTCTCGAACACCACTTTCGATTTTTCCGAATCCAGTTTCAGACTTTTTTTCCCAAAAACATCTTGAATCTCTTCAACATTTCCTTCAGCTCTGATTTTCTATTAGCCAGTAGAACTACATCGTCAGCATTCATAATTGACCAACATTTTTTCTTTCTTACAATGCCTCCTGCCCTTTTTCCATCTCCTCTTTCAAATCCGACACATACATGTTAAACAGAGTTGGACTCAAGGGACATCCCTTATACATCCCTTATATATTCCTTATATTATCCTTTTATTATATATTTATTGTATATTCCTTGTATATACCGCATCCATCGTTCCTCTCTCTTTTCTAAATCCGAACTGCTCTCTCTTCACAGCTTATCAGTTACTTCTTTCTCTAATCTTTCATTTAATATACTCACATAGATTTTGTATGCCATATCTATCAATGTGATTTCTCTGTAATTTTTAATCACCTCTCTCTCTCTTCCTTTTTGTATATAAGGCTTATGCCTTTGTTTCAGTTTGACAGGATTCCCTCTCCTTTCAATACTTTATTGATTTGCTTTCAAAATTCTTCTCCACTCTCCTTAGACATAAATCTCGTTCTCTATTCTGTTTTCTCCTAACATCTTCGCTTTCTTCAATTTCTTCAGCACTTCTATCAGCTCTTCTTTCGCGATATCTTTTGTCTTCCCTCTTCTTCTTTTCGTTCTTTCTTCTTCACTCTATCCAACAACAATACTCTTTTCTCCTGTGTTTCCTCTAACAACTCCATTCGTCCATTTGTATGTTCTCAATTACCCCTCTTATTTTTTTCTTTGTATACTTATTAATGTATTTCCAGGCTTCTGCCTCATATCTTATATTTGTATCTTTTTTCTCGTCCTCCTCTTTATCCTTTTTTTGTCCCTCACATCATCCCTTATCTTTTCCTTTTTCCCACGTAAATTTCTTTGTTGATTTTTTCTTTTTTTCAAATCTCTTAATATTCTTCTTAATTCTCATTTCATGCCTTTCTATATGCAGTTACTGAAAGCTGCATTTACTGAAGACAATTTAATTGGTTTGAAGTTCGACAACATTTAGAAAGATTAAATTTGTTAGAAATAGATTTTTCAAGAGTTTATAACTGTGATGAATCTGTTTTTCTTCTGTCTTCAAAAAAAGAATATGTACTTGTGAAAAAAGAATCTAAATCAGTCCACAAACTTGTAAATAACGATAAAGAATATTTGATTACGTTATTTATGGTTAATGCTACTGGTGTATTAGTACCTCCTAATGTTTATGTACAAACGATGCAGGATTTCTAGTCAATTTCCACAGATTGGTCAATTGGTCTATCTGAGAAAGGATGGATGCAGCAGATCTTTCTTTGAATTTATTAGTAATAACTTTTATCAATGGCTGGTTTCCAATAATATTAAATTTCCTATTGTTTTATATATTGATGGACATTCCTCACATTTAACTTTGCCATTACTGAAATTTTGCCGCAGTGTTCCAATTGAATTAATTGCCTTGTAGCTAAATGCAATTCATATATTACAATCTTTGGATGTCTCTGTTATCTACTCTCTAAAAAAAATGCTTGGAAAAAAGAAGTTTTTAATTGAAGACTAAAAAACGAAGGGAAATTTATAGGAAAAGAAATTTTTGCTCTAGTTTTAGAAAAAGCTGTAACATTTTCAATAAATTTGAAAGCTTTCAATAAATTTGATAAATTTGAAAGATGCAATACAAAATGATTTAAAATTGTTGTGATTTGATGCTATTTTCGGTTAATGCAATAACTTATTCAAATTTAACAAGCAAAAAGATACAAGTGTACCCTGTTGCAAATTCCCATGGATTTTTTTATGGGTTCCTATAGAGGACTATAAAATTCTGTAGAAGTTTGTAGGAATTACCTATAGGATTTGCGCAGCATGCATAAGTATACGTAGAACATTCATAGGAATGTAAATAGGATAATAGAGGTATCTGCAGGAATGTGGACATATGCCTCATGAGAACTAAAAGGTCTATAGGATAATTTGACATATAGTAACATGTAGGCGTACGTAAGACAAAGAAGAGATGCCCCATAGAAACTGAAAATGTCTATAGGTTACCATAGGATGACGTATGCACATCTCCTCTATCCTACGTGCATCTACATGTTTTTATACGTCAAAGTATAATATCCTATAGATATTTAGTTCCCTTCTCTTCCGCATTCTTATAGGTACTTTCTATAGGTATCAACTTGAGAGAATAATTCATAATTCCTAAAAACTGGAAGCCAGTCACTAAACACACTTTATTTATCATGTCATGTTTTAGTTTTTGGAGTTGTGAAAAAATTATCTTAGATTTTTACGTGGAATTACATCAGTCGGCTACTATTATACAATAGCATTTTGTGTGCACACTAATATATAAATTATAGGAACTCTACAGGGTGTCTCAGAATATTTGTGACTATTTTGGAATTATACAGAATATCAAAATATTTAGAAGTATTTTTGTGTGCAGATAGAGTGGATTAAACTAAACCGGAAGGTCCTTTATTATTTTGCAATTTTTGCAATTATTAATGAGCAGAATGTCTAAAACCGCGACACATTAGACAACTTTAAGAGTTCTTTGAAAAACATCTTTAAAATATGTCATAAAAAACTATGAAAAATATCTTAAGGTTATCTTATGCGTCGATTTCACCCGCTTCGGCAATTTTTAAAAACTAATTATTGTGAAAATTACAAAATGATAAAGGACTTTTCGACTTAGTTTAATCTACTTTATCTGCACGAAAATAGTCCCAAATGTGGGACATCCTATATATTATTTAGGATTACATCAACGTGCACATTATACTTTTTCCCATGCGATCTTATAGAAATCTCTTTTTATGAACTAGATAGATTTCTATGTAAAACTTTGTAAAAAAATTTCCTTATTCTATATATACATGCTGTATAAATCCTATAGATACCTTTGGTATTGTAAGAAATTTAGAGGAAATAGGCACGAGAAGCTATTAGCGTCAGGGCTATGTGACTCAGTGATAGGACAGAAGTCTTGGAGGAGAGACCAAGCCTAGTTCAAGACGATGAACGTTCCTATTTTTCTCTGTTGTCATTAATTGTTTACACTATACAAACTCCTACAGAGGCTGTGTTCCAAAATTTACTGTCAGTATTGAAAATGTATAGTGCACATAACGAAAACTATAGATTTTCAGTACTGGCAGTACTAGCAGCCAAAATCTTGTAGTCCTCTATAGGAACCCATGAAAAAATGGGAATTTATAGCAAGATAAGAGCTTTCTCCCATGGGGACCAGTCGAATTTACCACGGGTACTCATGATTAGACAAATCCATAGGAAAATTTCTCATTTGCAACAGGGTTTATTTGTCATGTAATATAAAAAAATAGTTCCAAATATTTTGAGATATCCTGTATAGTCTCAAAATAGTTACAAATATTCTGAGACATCTTGTATAGTCCCTATAATTTACATATTAGAGTGTGTACACAAAATGCTATAACAGTAGCCGACTGATGCAATTCCACATAAAAATTTAAGATAATTTTTTCATAACTCCAAAAACTGAAAGTTACATGATAAACAAGGTGTGTTTGGTGACTCAAAAAAGTGACTGTAATTTCTATTTTGATTTTTATTATATATAATATTGCGTGAAATATAATATCTTGGTAATTTATGCATTCAAAATAAATTATTTTAAATTAAATTAATAATTAATAATAAGGCTCTATATGTGCAATATAGATAAAAGAAGGGCAAAGAGCCAGTAATGTAATAAACAACTTTAACTCATGAAAATATAAT